AGTCAGTTAAGCATCTGGCTCTTGATTTCAGCTCAGGTCATGATCTCAGGGTTGTGAATTTGAGCCCCATGTCAGGCTCGAGCTGGGCACAGAGCCTGCTTAAGATTCTCTCTACCCCCCTCTCCGTCCTTCCCCTCACCCCCTTCTCTCCCTCTCTAAAAAAATAAAAATAGAAGAGTTCAGATTTATACTGTTATAAAATGGGAAGTAGAATCATTTGCTGAAAGTGAAGCTAAAGAAAAAGGAAGGATCTAGGGAGTGAGGCAAAATTAGAGCATCTGTTCAGATTTTACCAGATATTTAAAATTTCATGTAACCATTCAGATTTAAAACTGGCATAGGACTTCTGATATTGGTTATTCAGAAGTAGGCTCTTAATTTTTCCTCAAAGATCAGCATGATTCTTAATTACGTAATTATACATTTAAAAAAATTCTGGGGGTGCCTGGGTGTTGGCTCAGTCAGTTAAGTGTTTGACTCATGGTTTTGGCTCACGTCATGATCTTATGGGTTGTGATAACGATCCCCCGATCCTCTGAGAGGGGCTCTGTGCTAAGCAGGGAGTCTGCTTGGGGATTCTCTCCCTTTGCCCCTCCCCCTACTCAGGCTTTCTCCTTCTCTCTCTAAAAAAATCTTTTTTAAAAAATTCTGTTCTTTATTTAAGTTTTTATTTAAATTTCAGTTAGTTACCATACAGTGTAGTATTAGTTTCAGGTGTACCATATAGTGATTCAACACTTCCATACAACACCCAGTGCTCGTTACAGCAAGTGCCCTCCATAATCTCCATCACCTATTTTACCCATCCCCCCATCCACCTCCCTGCTGGTAACCATCGGTTTGTTCTCTATAGTTAAGAGTCTGTTTCTTGGTTTGGCATCTCTCTCTCTCTTTTTGCCCTTTGCTCATTTTTTTAATTCCACATATGAATGAAATCATACGGTATTTGTCTCTCTGATTTATTTGCTTAGCATTATACTCTCTAGCTCCATCCATGTCATTGCAAATGGCCAGATTTCATTCTTTTTTATGGCTGAGTAATATTCTAATGTGTGTGTGTACATACACACACATATATGCATATATATATACAATAATACACACACACACACACATACCACATTTTCTTTATCACTGAATTTTATAAATTTAACTACAGTATGTCTTGGTGTTGGCCTGCTTTTATTGATTTTGATGGGAGTTCTCTTTGCCTCCTGGATTTGGATGTCTGTTTCCTTCCCCAGATTAGGGAAGTTTTCTGTATTATTTCCTTACATAAACCTTCTTCCTCCCTTTGTCTCTCTTCTTCTGGGACTCCTGTGATGTGAATGTTATTACATTTGATGGAGTCACTGAGTTCCCTAAGTCTACTCTTGTGATCCATCATTCTGCCTTCTCTTTTTTGTTCAGTCTCATTATTTTCCACAATTCTGTCTTCTATATCACTTACTTGTTCCTCTGCTTCTTCCATCCTTCTGGTCATTACATCCAGTCAATTTCGATTCTCAGATATTGCATTTTTCATTTCTGCCTGATTGTTTTTTAGCTCTTTCATCTTTGCAGTAAGGGTCTCTCTGATGTTTTCCATGCTTTTCTCAATCCCAGCAAGTATCCTTATGATTATTGCTTTAAATTCTGCATCAGGCATATTACTTACATCTGTTTCGATTAGATCTCTGGTTGTGACCTTTTCTTGTTCTTTCTTTGGGGATGAATTTCTCCATCTTGGCATTTTGTCTAGGTCTTTGTCTTCTTCTCTGTGTTAGAAAATCCTGTTATGTATACTGATTCTGTGAGTAATGGCTTTATGAAGAAGAGGTCATATAATGTCCAGGTCCTGGCACTTCAGGAAGTGTCTCTGGTATGTGCTGTGTGCACTCTGCTGCTGTGTTTTGGCTGCTCTGTCCTTCAGGTCAGTTGTCTATAGAGGCTCTCCTTGCCTGCAGTGGACAGTGTTTGGACCTTGGCCAGAGTGTGGCAAGTTTTAACAAGGTGTGCTCTGGTCTGCTTGTTTAATGAGACCTGATGCCATTTCCACTAGAACTGAAGCTTTGCAGAACTGTTTGGTTAGTAGATGTCTGTGTGTGTTGGGGGGGGTGGGGCGTGGATTGTGATTGTCTTCTGGAGAAGGGGCCCGCTGTGCTGGTCCTTAGGCACACCTGCCCATGAAAAGCAGTACCAGAATAGTATAGACAGATTGGACCTGGTGTAAGCATTAGGCAACAAGTGCTGTGCTGTTTACTAAAGTTGGTTTATGCTAAGGGGTAGGGAGGGAAATGGTGCCAGCTAGCTCCTTTGTCCCCTGGGAGGGTAGTCCACACTCATTACTCTCAGGAAGCCCTCCCAGAAAAGGGAATAATTCCCCTTGTGCGTCCTGTGTGTTTTTCAATCACTGTTTTCACACTCTCTGTCTCCAGGTTGTTTGCCTGCCTGGAGCGGTACAGCGCACTTTGGGGTCTATCATAGCCAAGCCTGCTCACTTTCAAAACTCCAAACTTTAGGTACCTGGTGTGGCAGGGACCCGACCCATGCAGGGCTTCTGGGTGAGGGTCACAATGTGCTGGGACCAGTGCAGGTTTGACCCAGAAGGGCAGCCGCACCAGAGCAGAAGCAAAGCAGGCTAAATAGTCAGTGTCCAAATTAGCCACCTTCAGCAGGTGTCTCTGGGCCTATGGTGAGGGAAAGGGGAGCAAGATGGCACCTGTTGGCTCCTTTGTCCCTGGAGTGGCAATGCCACCTCTCACAGATGCACTCCAAGAAGAGGGAACAGTCACACACACCCCTGCCATGTGCCCCAGGTAATCCTCAGATCACGCCTTCTGCCCCAGAGACAGGAGCAAGGCAGTGCCCTCGGGTCTCTAACCCAAACAAACCTGCGGACCTCCAAAACTCCAGTCTTTGAGCCCTGCTGGTTGCAAAAACTTATGAAAATCAGCCCCTCTCATCTTCCCAACCAATAGCTTTGAGGAGGTATTCTCCTGTGTGTATCACTGTGCACTCCTTTCTCTCTCACCTTTCTCCGCGAACAGGGCTCCCTCCCCTCTGCAGCACCCATGAGGTCTTTCTCCCCCAAACCATGTCTCCACACATCCTACTTTCCGTAATGTGGCCTTCTCTCTCCTTCTAATTGTGCAGTTTGTTGTATCAGTCCTCAGGTTGATTTATTGGGTACTCACAATGATTTAATAGTTACTTAGCTGTGTTCAAGGGACAAGGCAAGCCTAGGGTCCTCCTACTATGCTGCCATCCTAGCTCTCCCTCTATATACCACATCTTTATCCATTCATCAGTCGATGGGTACTTGGACTGTTTCTATAATTTGGCTATGGTAGATAATGCTGCTGTAAACATTGGGGTAAATGTATCCCTTTGAATTAGTATTTTTGTATTCTTTGGGTAAATACATAGTAGTGCAAATTGCTGGATCGTAGGGTAGTTCTATTTTTAACTTTTTGAGGAACTTCCATACTGTTTTCCATAGTTGGCTGCACTGGTTTGCATGCCCACCAACAGTGCATGAGGGTTCCCTTTTTTCCACATCCTTGCTACCACCTGCTGTTTTTTTTTTTTTAGGAGTTTTTATTTTTATTTTTTTTTATTCTTATGTTAATCCCCATACATTACATCATTAGTTTTAGATGTAGTGTTCCATGATTCATTGTTTGTGCATAACACCCAGTGCTCCATGCACAATGTGCCCTCCTCAATACCCATTACCAGGCTAGCCCATCCTCCCACCCCCCTCCCCTCTAGAACCCTCAGTTTGTTTTTCAGAGTCCATCATCTCTCATGGTTCGTCCCACCTGCTGTTTCTTGTATTGTTGATTTTAGCCATTCTGACAGGTGTGAGGTGATAGCTCATTGTAGTTTTGATTGGTGTTTCCCTGATGATGAGTGATGTTGAGCATCTTTTCATGTGTCTGTTGGCCATCTGTAGGTCTTCTTTGGAGAATTGTCTGTTCATGTCTTCTGTGCATTTTTAACTGGATTATTAGTTTTTCAGGTGTTGAGTTTTATGGTTGTTGTTTTTTTAAGATTTACTTATTTATTTTAGAGGGAGAGAGTATTAATGGGCGGGACAAAGGGAGAGGGAGACAGAATCTCAAGCAGTCTCTGCGCTGAGGATGGAGCCCAATTCGGGGCTTGATCTCATGACCCTGAGATCATGACCTGAGCTGAAACCAAGAGGCCAAAGCTTATCTGACTGCACTACCCAGTTGCCCCAAGTTTTATAAGTTCTTTATGTATTTTGGATACTAACCCTATATCAGATAAACAATTTTAAAATTTGTAAGAAACCACAAAAGACCCCGAGTAGCAAAAGCAAACCTTGAAGAAGAAAAGCAAAGCTGGAGGCATCACAATTCCAGACTTCAAGTTATATTACAAAGCTGTAGTAATCAAAACAGTATGGTACTGGCACAAAAATAGACACATAGATCAGTGGGATGGAATGGAAAACCCAGAAACGAACCCACAACCATATGGTCAATTAATCTTCGAAAAAGCAGGAAAGAATTTCTACTGGGAAAAAGACATTGTCTTCAACACATGGTGTTGGGGAAACTGGACAGCCACGTGCAAAAGAATAAAACTAGACCACTTTCTTACACCATACACAAAAATGAATTAAACATGATTAAAGACCTAAATCTGAGACTTGAAACCATAAAAATCCTAGAGGAGAACATAGGTAGTAACCTCTTTGACATTAGCCATAGCAACTTCTTTCTAGTTGTGTTTCCAGAGGCAAGGAAAACAAAAGCAAAAATAGACTGTTGGGACTTCATCAAATAAAAAGCTTCTGCACAGTAAAGAAAACAACAAATCTAAAAGGCAGCCTATGGATGGGAGAAGATATTTGCAAAAAGTCTGTTCTTTAAAATGTAACAAAAGATAATCTTTACATTTTATTGAGAGGGCTATTTTTGTAGGTAAAATATACTTCCTTTGCCAAAGAATAATGATTTTGCTAACTTCATTTTTCCTTTCTTATTCAGGTCATGTATGGAGTGTTGGTCTTCACATTAGTACTTCGATCTATTTATATTGTTACATGGTAAGTGGTTTGGATCAACAGTATGATTAGATTACATTCAAGCAATAAATCTATAGCCTAAATTGAAATAACACATAAAACCCAACTCTAGCAGTGATATTGATAGAAAACTTTAGGCCAATATTTATTGTGGTATAAGATAATAAATATTAGTTCTTTAAGCAAGGTGTTAATTGGCATCCTGTAAAAACAAAAAGTTCCAACATTAATCTGAGGAAAACTGTATGATGGCCTCCTTTTGAATATTTGTAGTGTACATTAGTATATTGCCTTGAAAAATCCCTACAGTAAAAAATTGTTTTTGTTTCTCAAACTACTTAACTCAGAACCCTTCTTACAATACACTATTTAAGGAAGACAGTGTCAGAAAGAATCAGTACTCCAGAGAGATGATTTAGGAAATAGTCATAATCTTTATAGAGTTTATGAAGATTAAATAATAAATATTCATGTGAGTGATTTCCATGGGACCTGGCCATACAGCATGTGCTCAATAAATAAATAATATGATTTATGGGTTTATCCTTTTTTAATTAAGCTTTTTATTTTGAGGTAATTGTAGAAGCACGTGTATTGTAATAATAGAGATCTTCTGTACCCTTTACCAATTTTCTCCACTGATAATGTCTTGCAAAACTATAGTACAACATTACAACCAGGATTTGACATTGGCAGAGTCAAGATACAGAACAATTCCATTGGCACAAGCATCCCTGTGTTGTCCTTTTATAGCCGTACCCACTTCTCTCCTACCCCATTCTCTCACCACCTATCCTTAATCCCTGGCATTCACTAATCTGTCCTTCATTTCTATAATTTTTTTATTTCAAAAATATTATATAAATGGAATCATACAGTATATATAATAACCTTTGGGATTGGCCTTTTGCACTCAGCATAATTTACTGGAGATAAGTTCATGTTGTTGAGTGTGTCGATAGTTCATCCCTTTCTATTGCTGAGTAGTATTCCGTGATATGGGTGTACCACAGTTTAACCATTGACCTGTTAAATGACATCTGGATTGTTTCTAGTTTTTGACTATAAAGAATAAAGTTGTTGTGAACGCTTGTTTATAGGTTTCTGTGTGAATGTAAATTTTCCTTTCTCTGGAATAAATGCCCAGAGTGAAATTGCTAAGTTGTATCACGGTTATATGTTTAGTTTTTCTCAGAACTGTCATACTGTTTTCCAAGGTGGTTCTACCATTTTACATTTCCACCAGCAGTGTATGAGTAACCCAGTTTCTCTGCATTCTTGTCAACATTCGTGTTGTCACTATTTTAGCCATTCTTACAGGTATGCACTAATCTCTCACTGTGGTTTTAATTTTCATTTCCCTAATGTCTAAAGATGAACATATTTTCATGTACTTATTTGCCATCTGTATATCCTCTTTGTTGAAATGATTGTTCGTGTCTTTACCCATTTTCTGATGGTATTGTTTCTCTTTTTTTTCAGTTGAGTTTTGAGAGTTCTTTATATATTTTAGATACTAATCCTTCATCAAATATGTAGCTAACAAATATTTTCTCTCTCAGACTATACCTTGTCTTCTCATACTCTTCAGAGTCTTTCACAGAGCAAAAAAGTTTTTAATTTTGATGAAGTCCAATTTATCAGTTTTCATTTAATGGATCATACTTCTGGTGTCAAATATAAGGACTCTCTCCCTAACCCTAGATTTTATCTTGTTTGTTTGTTTGTTTGTTTTCTAAAAGTTCTGTATAGTTTTACATTTTACATTTGAGTTTGTGATTTATTTTTAGTTAATTTTCATATAAGGTATAAGGCTTAGGTCAAGGTCCATTTTTTTTTTTTTTTACCTATGAATGTCCATCTGCCCCAGGACCACTGGTTGAAAAGGCTATCTGAAATTTCTCCACTGTATTGTTTTTCCTCTTTCCTCAAAAATGATTCGTATATATTTGTGTGGATCTATTTCTCGGTTTTTTATTTTGTTACATTGATCTGTGTCTCTGTCCCTCCACCAGTGCTACACTCTTGATTACTATAGCTATATATAAAACAACTCTTCAAATCATGTAGACTAATGATTCCTCTCAGTTCTTTTCACAATTGAAAAAAGGTGTTTAGGTTCATTTGTCTTTCCATATAAATTTTACAATATATATTTAAATATGTGTATATTTAAATTTTTTGTTGGGATTTTGATAGGAATTGTATTAAACCTGCATATCAATTTGCAAAGAATTCACATCTTTACTATGTTGAGTCTTCCAGTCTGTAAACACACATGTCTCTCCATTTATTTTGATCATATTTGATTTTGTTCATTGACATTTTGGAGTTTCCATTTCTTGAGCAATTGTAAATGGTATTTTATTTTTAAATTTGGGTGTCCACATGTTCATTACTATTATATAGAAATACAGTTGGTTTTCTTTATGTTTATCTTGTATTCTGCCACCTTGCTGAACTTAATAGTTTTAGAATACTTATAGATTCCTTGAGATTTGCTGCAGATAGGGACAGTTTTTACCACCCTTTCTAATGTATGTGCTTTTGATTTCCATTTTTGCCTTATTCTCTCTAGAATTTCCAGGACTATATTGAATAAGAGTGGTGATAGTAGATAACCTTGCCTTGTTTTCAGTTTTAGGGGAAATAATATTAAGTCTTTCACCATTAACTCAAGTGCAGTGTTAGCTGTATGGTTTTTGTAGATGTTCTTTATCAAGTTGAGGAAGTTGTTCAATTTTGTCAGACATTTCAATATCAGTTGATTTGATCGTACAATTTTTTCTGCAGTCTCTGAGTATGGTGTTATTACATTGATTGATTTTCAAATATTGAACCATCTTTGTATTCTGAATGAACCCCACTTAATCATGGTATAAAATTGGTTTTTTTTATTCTTATGTTAATCCCCATACATTACATCATTAGTTTTAGATAAAATTGTTTTTATATGTTGCCAAATGATACTTGTTAATATTTTGTTAAGGATTTTTACATCTATAATCATGAAGGATATTGGTTTATAGTTTTATTTTTTGTTTCACAGTTCTCAAGGCTAGAAGTCAGAAATCAAGGTGTCAGTATGGCCATGATTCCTTTGAAACCTGTAGGGGAATCCATCCTTTACTTCTTAGCTTCTGGTGATTTGCTGACAATGTTTGGCACTCCTTGACTTTTATCCACATAATTTCTGCCTCTGCCTTTGTTATGCCATGGTGTTGTCCTGTATTTCCGTGGCTTTACATGGTTGTTTTCTTATAAGAACATCAGTCATATTGGATTAGGAGCCCACTCTATTCCAGTATAACCTCATCTTAACTAATTATATCTGCAATGACCCTATTTCCAAATAAGGTCACATTCTGAGGTACTGGGACTTAGGACTTCAACATATCCTTTTTGAGGGGAAAAATTTAACCTACAGCAGTGCACCCTGCACCACTTAAAATATGCATTTTACATGCATTTATAACTACATCAGACAGTATTATGGTTTTTGCCCCACCATAAAACATAATTTAGAAACTCAAAGGGAAAGAAAAATGTATTATGTTTATTCATATTTTTACTCTTTCCTTTTTCTTCCTCTCTAACGTTCTAAGATTCCTTCTCTCCTCATTTCCTTTCTGTTTAGAAAACTTTCTTAGCCATTCTTTTAGGGTAGATCTGTTGGCATTATATCCTCTAGGTTTTTCTTCATGTGAAAATGTATCTTGATTTCTTCTCTGGTTACAGAATTCTAGGTTGACAGTTCTCTTTCAGAACTTGAAAAATGTTGTGCAACTTTTTTCTGGCCTTCAGGTTTTCTGATGAGAGATCCTGTCATTCAAATTTTTTATTTCCTGTAGTATAGGAAAGGTGTTGCTTCTCTCTCACTCTTTTCAGGATTTCCCCTTGTCTTTAGTTTTCAAAATTTTGTCTGTGATGTATCTTCTTGATGTGGATTTCTTTGGGTTAGCTTGTTTGAGGTTAGCTTAGCTTCTTGAATCTGTGGGTTTATAGTGGTTTTTTTTGTTGTTGTGAGGGGAGGAGTTTTTTTGGCCAAATTTGAATGTTTTCAGGCATTATTTCAAATACTTTTTCAGCCCTGCCTTCTTTCTTCTCTCCTTCCAGGACACCAATAACATGAATGCTGATCTTTTGTTATAGTCCCACCTTCTTATGACCTGATGAGGAAGGAAGTCTAGAATCCCCACTCAGTCTTTGCAGCATGGATGGGGGTGAGGCTAGAGTTTTTTCTGGGGTGTTTGGCTCTAGAATAGTAGTTACTATGTAAATTTTCACTCTTACTAGGCTGCCTCTTTTCTGGTCATTTGGCTAGAGAGAGCAGGCTTTTGTTAGGATTTTTTTTTTTTTTTTGTCTGTACCTAGTGGCATTTCTGGGTTGCTAGCATCTTCAGTTCCAACTCTGGGATATATGAGGCAAAAAGAAAACACATGGAACTCATCACTGTAGTGTAACTCAGGTCCCAAAGTCTCTAGCCAGTTGGCCTTCTCCACCTTTCAGAGTCTTCTTATGTTTGTTTTTATGTAATGTTCAGGATTTTTTTTTTTTTTAAAGATTTTATTTATTTTTTGAGAGAGAGAATGAGATAGAGAGAGCATGAGGGGGGGAGGGTCAGAGGGAGAAGCAGACTCCCCGCTGAGCAGGGAGCCCGATGCGGGACTCGATCCCAGGACCCCAGGATCATGACCTGAGCCGAAGGCAGTCGTTTAACCAACTGAGCCACCCAGGCGCCCCTGTTCAGGATTTTTAATTATACCTAGTGGGGAGAACAGGGAAAGGTGTGTCTGTTTCATCTTCCCAGAAACAGAAGTTCCTAATTTATTCTGCTTTTAATCTAGGCACCTTAGGGAAGTGTAAAGAAGCATAAAATACAGTTCTTGCCTACATCAAGTCCAAAAAATAAGATACCAATGCTTCTAGAAACACAAATGACAGATCTGTAAAAAGTGTGTAACAGTGGAAGTCCTAGGAGATAAAACATCTTTCTTTTATCTGTCTTGCCACAGCTTCT